TTAGAAACGTGCTGGCTGCCGCGCCGAGGCAGGGCCCGCGGGTGAGCCACCCCTGGCTGTCTCTCCTCCCGGCGCAGAGATACAATACCCAATTTTATATGTTGTTTGTCTGCCCAAGCACGCTTGGCTTCCCAGTCAGGCTGCAAGCGCGGCGCTGCCTGCACCCATCGCCTCCATGGGCTCCCAACCCCCCGAACCCCATGCTGTGCTCCACAGCCTGAGCTCAGGGTCTGCCACTGCCTGCCCTGGACCCAGCGATCCCCACCGAGCCCCTGATTTAGCAACCACGCAGCAGTCAGGGCCCTCTCCGTGGCCTCCGGCCGAGGGGAGGGGGCTGTTGCACCACCCTGGCTCTGCTCCGCTTCCTGCGATTGTGCAGCTCCCCGTTACGAAAGCAGGGGTGAGGGCAGACACCAGCTCCTCATGCTTCCGAGCAGGGAAGCGGCTCGCTTCATCCCCACCTTGGGCGCCTGCAGGTCACACATGGGCACCGGGTGCGCTGAGTTCTCTTCAAAAGTGGTTCAAGAGTGTTTTTGCACCCTCACAGTGGGGTGAGAGCAGAGTGACTGCTCAGGAAACCGGGACCGTGTCTCACCAAGCCCCCCTGCACAGACAGCCCCTGGGAAGGGAACGCAGCATGTGCTGCTCTTCAATAGACTGCAAGGGTGATCACCCCAAAGCCTCCCCAGGCTTCCTCCCACAGTGCTCCCAGCCACCACCCAGCAGCCCAGCCCCTCACTGAAATGACCACAGAAGACTGTCACACACCATCAGGCCTTATCTATGCTTTTAATAAGAAAGTTGTTTATTATTATCCTGGTCTACTGAAGAGGTCCTTTCCCATGGCAGCGGGGTTGGATTAGGTGACCTCCAACCCAAACCGTTCCATACCATTCTACGAAATGCCCTGGGGTGGGACGAGGACAGATGCTCAGGAGCTATCACTAAGTTGCGCTGCAGGAAACACACCACTCACCAGCTCAAAGTGCTTTCACCCAACCGTGGGGAGCAACTAGAGCCAGCCAACTGAATCAGCATTCAGCGCAGGGTGTGTGAGGACACAGCTCTGAAATGGTCCCCTGGCCAGGAAAGCCTTCAGCAGAGAAAGTAGCTCTGCTGCTCTCTGCTCCACGCACCCCCAGCAGAGTGGTTCTAGGAACACCTTCTCCGCGATGCCCAGAAGCCCCACTCGCAGGGCTGTGGGATATCTTAGCTCAGCCTCTACAGAAGGCAAAAGAGCACACGGCTCGGGAAGGACTCCACAGTACCTCCATAGCCAGGCCAGGAGCAGTGCCAGGGCTCAAAATTTAGCAGGAACGGGCAACATGCAGGGTCTGTCACAATGGTAGGACCACCCCCTGCAAGGGCACTAAAAACTTGCTATCTCACACTAGAATGAGGCAACAATGCAGGATTAAGGAGAAGGGACAAGAGGCACACATTTGCAGCTACCAGAGTAAGAAGTGCAGGACTCAGCCTCATCATCTTGACCTGGGCAGGGAAGAAGCAGGGTGGCTGCCTCCATAACCAACTGCATCCAGTCAGACCAAATACGGGTACCTCAGGCCTGACCACCTTCACCCTCCCTGCCACAGCCCATCCCAAGCCACGGGACCCAGCAGGTTGCAACAGCAGCAGTGGCCAAGATTCCAGTTTCCTACCCCATCTCAGCTCGAGTCCTGCTATTGATACACAGAGCACTCTCAGAACAGGTCAACTCTAGAACTATTCCTCCCTGGCAAACCCTCTGAGCTGCCAGCAATCAGAAAAGTATTCAGAAGCATCCGCTTAGATGGACTACCTGTTAATGCAGCTCTCTTTGTCCCTGGCTGGCGGGGTGCCTGGTGTCACCCTAAGAAGCAGAAGTGGTCCCATCTCAGTGGCACTGTACTGCTGGGTGACAACTCCGGAAGGACGTTCCACTCACTCCTGCCTCTTGGCTTTCCACGTCGCCAGCACTGCTGCCTGCAGAGTGCAGCTCTGCAAGCACTGGTCCTGAGGCTGGGGAGGGCCAAGCTCAGAGCCTGCTGCTGCCAGAGGGTTGAAGGATGAGTTGCTGCTGAAAGAAGATCTGGGATTGGGGTTGGGTGGACCCTGCCCCTCTTCCCATCATTGATCGAGGCTGTCTGACAGTGAGGGATCCTCAGTATCTGGGCTGAATCCCCCCAGCACAACATCCTCAGGCACATCAGGTGGTACATAGCTTGGGAACTTAGGGATCTGCCATGGCAGCACTGCAAGAGAGAGAGAGCCAGCCCTGTCATTCCCAGCCTCTCACCATCCTGCTCCAAGCACAGGCCACCGCAGAGCCTTTGAGAGGGGAACAAACTGTTGAACAAGGGCTGCTTCCTCCCAGGGGAGGCGGAGAGAGGATGCTGCACAGCTGTCCGGAACAAGCACAGCTCCAAGAGGGACTGGTTCCCTCCAGTTCCAGTATTGCCCCTGGCTTAGGGTCCTGCCCCAATCTGGGTCCCTGCAAAAGGGCTGAGGAAGAGCCCAGAGCTGGGGCAAGACAGCAAAGCCAAACGTAGCGGTCAGCCCAGGCAAGGGGCTGCTGGGTTGGAGGCACCTCAGAGTTCAGGCTGTCTCTGAGGAAGGTGCTTTGCTCCTGGAGGGCAACACTTCCGGATCCACCCCTCAGCCCCCGTGCACTCACCTCTGAGCTCGGGCAGTAGCTCTGTGCTTCCTGATTAGCTGATGCCGAGGGAGACAAAAACGCAGGGAAACATAGCAACCTGGAAACAGAACGATCAGCAACGACCTCCTAAAATGACATGGAAAGCATCACCAGCCACAACGAACGCCTCTCTCCCAAACGTACAAGCACAGGAGGGACTGGGGCTGAAGCCACTCACCACAGAGCACTCTTCTGCGGCGGCTTTTGCAGCGGTTCTTGCTTCTGACCGTTTCAAGGCCTGCAGTTTCCTCAACTGCTTGAGCAGTGACCTTCAGGCAACGCAGGTTAATGCCGCTGCGGAACCAAGAGCTGCCCGCTCCCCTCCTCACCCCCTGCAGCGAGGGACTGACCGCTCCCAAGAAGAGGAACAGCCGCACCTCCTGCCATGTCCAACAACAAGAACTCACGGCTTGTTCTTCCACAGCAGCTGCACCTTCTTCTCCTGCTTGTGCTTCTGAGCTGCTCTTGCTGCCACGCTTCCAGGGGAAGATGAGCAGCACAGGGGAAAAACAGAAAGGTTTTGTTAGCCAACAGCAGGGAGGGACTTCACCGCTCTCCCCATAAGTCATCGGCCACTTGGGGCTGGGGCAGATAAAATTGCTCCTGGGGTCTACCTGGCACCACCTGGAGCAGCCCAGTGACATCTCACGCAGTGTGGGGAGAAGTGAGCCCGCTCAGACCCCCAGAGAATCACCAGACAAATCCCTAAGGAAGCTCACTCCCAGGAGCACAGATCCGCGATACCCGGCTGTACTGCAAACTAGCCTGACCTGGAGAACACGCAGGACCAGCACTTGATTTAAAGAGAGCAAGCTCTGGGCCATCTCCAAGCGCAAGAAAGGAAGGCAAGATATGCCCCAAGGTTCTGAGCCCCCTGAGGAGAGCTGCTGCCCCACAGGGTCAGCCTCATCTTCTGACCAGGTTGGGAAGACCCCAGCAGTAGCACAGCACAGCTGCTTGTGACCGGTACCCCCTGCTCCCCACCCAGCAGTGTGGTCGGCTCAATCAACGCTATTTTATGAGGTGACATCACCTCATCGCCTGTGACTGAGCAGGTCACATTATCAGACCCCGAGGGTCCTGTGCACCAGGTAGACAAACCAAACAGATTTCTTCTTCCCCTCCCTACCTGACAGGCCTCAGGGCTTTGCGGCACCAGGCTGACTACTCCCTTCCTTACCAGCTTTGCAGGTTCCAGGCGTCTGGCCAGACCAGTGTTTTTGACAACCCTGTCACAGAGCGGGGAAGTGTAACAGCACATAGACCACCATCCATAAAATCAGTTACAAGCCCTAAGGGGGAACTTGGACTAGAGCTGCTGCTGGGGAGTGACACTCGGGACCTCCCCGCCTCCCCCCAACCCCTGGCCAGGGACATCTCAACCTCTGTTTCCTCCCAGGACTGAGGAAACGACTCATATTCCTTCATATAATTTTTGAGTTGATCATTGTAATTGATACAGCAAATATATTACTGCATGTATTAAGATCTGATGTGATTTGCAGAGGGTCCAGATGGTTAGAAATCGTAAGTTGTATTGGGATCTAGGTAATTAGAGATTATAAAATATAATCGGTGTTTGTAATAGAGATTATATTTATATGCTATAATTTATATTTATATTGTATAATTGTATTTATAATACAACTGTATTATAAATTCTGTATTATACTGCTTATAGATCATACTACATTGGTCTGCCTGTAGGAGTCCTGTGCTACTGTCATCATAAATTCTGTGTTATACTAATCCTATTATGTTATGAAAACAAAGCTTTAATTGAAACCGCAACTTAGTGCCTTCATTTTTCTGCCAGGGATCCCTAAAAGAACCTGTCTGTCCCCTCTGTGTTTGGTGACAGTGTTGCGTGCCTGTACCGTTTTTTCACGTGGGTCTTCCTCCTGTGATGACAGCTCCAGGCTGACTGCTTTCTCCGCCTCTTCAAATGCACTTTCTTCAGAAGCTGGTCTTCAGCCTGCAAGGGTCATTTCTCATCAGCAGCAATGTCAGGGCATTGGCAATCCAGCCCTCACAAACCCTGCATACATCTCAGCGTTCAGCCCACGTGCTTCTGTCCTCTGGCCCTCCCGACACCACTGAATGAATTGCAGGAGCTGTAAGGCAAACTGGCCTGCTGATGCAGCTAGTAGCACCCCCAGTGAGGCAAAAGCGAGGCATACACAAGCATGCAGCTCACGAGCCACTAGGCAAGCAGGAAAAGACAGGCTGGAGGCACTTGTGGTGTAACTGCCTCCTGCACGCAGCTATGAGTGGGGAGAGTGACAACAGCCAGGTCTCGTTGCTCTTCAGATCTACCTCATTAGACAAGCAGAGGCTGCTGTGCAGGTGGACACCCCTACAGTCCTGGGAGTGAGGAGGAGGACACCAGGCCTTGCCACACACTGCCCTGAACGGAGCACCCGGGCACCAATGCTCCCATCAAGGCACCAGCCTGTGTCTTCAAATCCCTACTCTGGCTGAACCATTCAAGTGGTCCAAGTCCATTTGGAGGTGACAGGCTGTAGCAAAGACTCACCGTAGGCTGTAGCAGATAGGTTGGTAATGAAACACCTTCTTTGTTCAGGTTATCTCTTTGCCCCTCCTCCTCTGCCAGGACCAGATTTGGGATTTGGGGCTAGAAAACAGTAAAAATATGCCCACTGAGAATGCAAAGTAAAGGGAATCCACCCCAGGGCAAAGAGGGTGAGCAGAAAGCCCACAGAACCACAGCCAGCTCTCCCAAAGCAGCATCATGCTTTCCTCAGAGACATTTCCCATAGGAGCCAAGCCAGGAGAGAAGGGGAGATGTGACCAGAAGCAAAGGCTGGGGCCCACATGCATGGTAGTCAATACCCAGGCAACAGCTTCAGGCACAAGCCAGGGTTCTGCATCCACAGCAACAGCAGTGGGGAAACCACAAATGTCTTCAGGTACCTTGCTTGTGCTTTCCCAATCCATCTCTTTCTCTGGGAAAGGAAAGGAGAGTCAAATGCTAGACCTGAGTGAGGCAGCACCTGACCAGACAGCTTTGAGTAGCATGAAACCACAATTTGATGGCAGCAGAAAGCCACTAAACTCTGCTCTCTCCATCACTGCCTGGCACCCACCCAAAAACCCCCCAATGTGGGACTGCTTTTCTGCCCATACCCAGGACAGAATGAGCCCAAGGACAACACATACCAAGGTCAGTGGAAATCTCTCCTTCTGCCATCTCAGACCTCACGCTTTCCAGCACAAGCTTATCCTCATGGAGGGAATAGTTGTGATCAATCTGCAAAACGTTTGAGCTCTGAGAGCTGCCAGCAAAGCTGCTGTCAAAGCTATGGGGCTGATGCTGATCCTCAGAAATGCTGGTGTCACTCTCAACAGGCAAATAATCCTGCAGCATGTTTGGTTCATCTTCAAAGGGGTTCAGCATGCAGCTGATGAAGTCCTCCATCTCCCTGTCCACGAACTGCAGAGAAAAAGCTTTTAATTAGCAGGGAGGCAAACCTCCTGAACCACAACCCAGCAGTGATTCCTCCCAAAGAACTCACCTCAGGCTCTGGAGGGTGCCAGTTTTCCAGCAGATCAATCTCCTCCCCACCTTGGCTATCAGAGTGGGAAGCATCAGCCTTCAGGATGAAGTCAAGCAAGTCCTCATCTGCCAGGGCTGCTAGTTCGTCCAGGCATGACATCTAAGCGGGACACCCAAAGTGAGCACAGGCACTGGGGAAGACATCAGCACTCCTTTGAGATGTCCCTCAGTCCCTACAGGCAAAGTCTCCCCATGCAACAACAGCTGCCAGGGGAGCTGCAACAACCAGCCCAGGAGTACCTCCCCGACAAGGCTATTATACCCCACCACACCAGTTTCCCCACCAGTTACTGGGACACAGACACAGGAGCCATGCTCCACCCAGAACACAAAAGCTGCAGGAAGAGAGGGAAAGTGGAAGAGCTCCAAACTTTCTGCCCTGGATGGCAGGCAAGATCCTGCCATTCCACTGACTGCCAAAGGTGCTGTACCCACGGCGTGCAGGCAGTGGGGCCAGCCTCCTGTCGCAGGCAAACTCACAGTGATTTCACAGTGATTTAAGCAATGACCTAAACAACAATTTAGGCAGCAGTCAAACACTCTACCTCTCACCACACTTGTAACAGTTAGGCCAAGGCTGTACATATACAGAAATGTCACTTGCGTACTTAGGGCTGAGTGTAAAATGTGGCTTACCTTCCTTTAGACACCGGATGCCAGGTAAAGAGTCTCTCAGCCTCCAGAAAGAACCTTGCGAGGTGTCCCTGCTCCAGGGGGAGGGAGTTCACCGCTGAGCAGCCCGCTGTTGTGCAGGAGAACTTGATCAGCTCGAGGAGGCTACAGGTATTTATAGGGTAAAGCGATGGACTCACAGTCAACCCCTCCTCCTTTGGAGTTTGTGCAGCTGGCAGTTTTGGTTTTGACTAGTTCCAGCTATGGCTAGTGCTGTTATCGCTTGATAAGACACAGCCTAGGCTCCCTGCTCCCCGAGAAGATGTGGCCTTGTCGGGTTCTCACAGTTGGCACAGCCAAGCTGGTACCGGTCAGGCTGTTTTCGAGCCAAAGCACTGCCCGCTCAGTCGGAGCAGGGCATCCATCACCCTTCCACATCAGCACTGCTAAGCTTTCCCATCTAGGTGGCAGGTATCACAGTCAGAAGAAAACAAAACCATGAAAAAAGCCACCAAGCCCTCCAGAAACATCAAGAAAACCCACCCAGAATTAGAAGGTCAGGGCAGACACCAGCCCTGTTACAGCCCTGCTGTAGCAGCTGCCCAGGAGCAGGAAACCTGCGGACCTACCCTGCCAGATGTGAAGGTGAATGGAGCCTAATGGGCAGAAAGTGGAGCAAGGAGAGGAAGGGAGCCAGGCAGAGCTGGGACAATGCCAAGGCCTGCTGCTTCCATGGACACTAGGGACGTTTAACTCATCAGCATGCACTGGGCGGGCAGCAAAGGGAGGTAGAGAACAAGAGGACGCAGCAGCAAGTGAAGCAGAAGGGCGGCAGGACCGTGCAGGGCAGGAACCATTCCCCCTGCCTTGACACCCACACCGAGGGAAGCAGAGAAGCCTCTCACAGCCCCACCCATGGGGCTGACCCAAGGGCACCGCTGCGTGGGGCACAGCCGCAGCCTGCAGCCAGCACCCCCGTCGGGCAACACATCCCCGACGGTCAGCGCATCCCCACTGGGCAGCACATCCCGAGGCCAGGCAATGCATCCCTGACAGG